AACCTACACGGGAGTGATGACGATGTTTGGTGATCTCGTAGCCTGATCCAAGCCCATACATATCCCTTCTTCTCTTCCTCAGCCCCGATTTACGCTTAGCGTCTGCTCTTAATCAAGTGTCTCAGTTATTAATCCGCTCTGTTCATAAAAATGAAAATAACAGCTAGTTGAATTATTTTATTAACCATACTTACATTAAACAATCGAGTACAATCCCCACTGACCTTACATAAACACTGTTCCACTATTTGTCTTGGAACATACAATACACGTTTAAGTATATAAGGACTGCCTGATCATGTCCCATATTAGGTTATGATACTGAATCAAAGTTCTGGAATAGTAGATGCCGAATTTTTATGAAAAAAACGATTTGAGACGCATTACATACTATGTTAACATGGTAGAAAGGTGAATGTGTCTATGTGATTATACTTATGCTGAAGTTGATGGAAGAAAGGTGAATATGTCTGTGTGACTGTACTAATGTTAAACTTGATAATGTTGAGATGGAAGAAAGGTGAATATGTCTATGTGACTGTACTAATGTTAAACTTGATAATGTTGAGATGGTAGAAAGGTGAATATGTCTATGTGACTGTACTAATGTTAAACTTGATAATGTTGAGATGGTAGAAAGGTGAATATGTCTATGTGACTGTACTAATTTTAAACTTGATCATGTTGAGATGGTAGAAAGGTGAATATGTCTATGTGACTGTACTAATGTTAAACTTGATAATGTTGAGATGGTAGAAAGGTGAATATGTCTATGTGACTGTACCAATGTTAAACTTGATAATGTTGAGATGGTAGAAAGGTGAATATGTCTATGTGACTATACTAATGTTAAACTTGATAATGTTGAGATGGTAGAAAGGTGAATATGTCTATGTGACTGTACTAATGTTAAACTTGATAATGTTGAGATGGTAGAAAGGTGAATATGTCTATGTGACTGTACTAATGTTAAACTTGATAATGTTGAGATGGTAGAAAGGTGAATATGTCTATGTGACTGTACTAATGTTAAACTTGATAATGTTGAGATGGTAGAAAGGTGAATATGTCTATGTGACTGTACTAATTTTAAACTTGATAATGTTGAGATGGTAGAAAGGTGAATATGTCTATGTGACTGTACTAATTTTAAACTTGATCATGTTGAGATGGTAGAAAGGTGAATATGTCTATGTGACTGTACTAATGTTAAACTTGATCATGTTGAGATGGTAGAAAGGTGAATATGTCTATGTGACTATACTAATGTTAAACTTGATAATGTTTAGATGGTAGAAAGGTGAATATGTCTATGTGACTGTACTAATGTTAAACTTGATAATGTTGAGATGGTAGAAAGGTGAATATGTCTATGTGACTGCCTCGTGGTCTCCAGGCTTCTTTGGGCATCGCCACGCCGCGTCCCTCACTTATTTTGGAGCCACTTCCTCAGAAGGTTTACCCCCATTTTCCCAACATTTGTTAAAACATCATGTTCAGCCAGGCGTAGACCAATAGAAGGATTAACTTGGGTATTCCACTTTTAGGGGTGGCTGACAGCGAGGTCAGTTCACCCTTCACATAGAGTTCACTCTCTCACTGTCTCATCATATCAATGAAAAGTATGAACTGTCTTCACCAATAATCAATGATAACTCTGTTCCCTCTGTTCATCAAGATTCTATGTCTGATCTAAGTATGCCACAGTTACCATGTGGAGTCATATGCAACTATGGCCAACGCACAAGTCAATGTCGATTACGTTAAGATTGCATATGGTGGTGAACATTTAGTTTATAACAGGTATAAGTTTAGAGTTTAGAGAAACCTCATCCCAGAGAAGGCCGCAAAACAGCAATGCAGTATACTGATGTATCCCACCTTATTTGAGTTCTGACATAATCATGATGTACTTGTAAAGACTTAAAAATGTTTATGTGTTGTAAAACATAAAAGATATTTGATCTGTATGTTGTTGAACATAAATTAAAACAAAATATACGTGATATATAATTATGTTTATCTGTGAAATATGTGATTTATATACAATAGTACAATAGTATATATATGTTGATCTATATATTCTTAAACATTGGTAATACAACTGATGTATTTATTTCACTTGTCCAACAATTTGACCCAAGCCCACTATCAAGACCCCTAATAAGAAAGTGGGCAACACCCGCCACTTAATCCCGATGTTGTTATACCCCTACCAATGTTGGGAAAGTTGGGGGACACCCCTCAGAAATCATGGCGCCTTTCGGCAAAAATTATATTGTGTAGCCACGCGTTACCCCCTGACATAGTCTGTTATTTACACTCCTTTTATTCGTATCATGACGATTGAAACTTCAACTTACGTGGCTCAAGTGAGAAACACAGACCAAATGATTAACGTCTGTATTCCCCGTCGATATAAAGTTGGGCTCAACTGGGGATGTATTTCATCTGATTTATCCTCGGGGGCGACATTAGGAATATGATAAATATCAAACACTTACATTTCTCCAAAATGCGAACTTGTTTACATGCCTACGACCAACAACATAGGCGCGTTGGCTTCACTGCAAGGGGGTATGGTCGCTTCACAACCATTAGATAGAACAGCATTGACGACTGTGTCACAATCATTATATAGAACAGCATTGACGACTGTGTCACAATCATTAGATAGAACAGCATTGACGACTGTGTCACAATCATTAGATAGAACAGCATTGACGACTGTGTCACAATCATTAGATAGAACCACACTGAGGACTGTATCACAGTTATAAGCTAGAACCACATTGAGGCCTGTATCACATTAATTAGCTAGAACTACACTGAGGACGAGGACTGTATCAAAACCAGTAGATAAAACCACATTGAGGCCTGTATCACAGTTGTAAGCTAGAACCACATTGAGGCCTGTATCACAGTTATTAGCTAGAACTACACTGAGGACGAGGACTGTATCACAACCAGTAGATAAAACCACATTGAGGCCTGGATCACAGTTATAAGCTCGAACCACATTGAGGCCTGTATCACAACCAGTAGATAAAACCACATTAAGGCCTGTATCACAGTTATAAGCTAGAACCACATTGAGGACTGTATCACAGTTATAAGCTAGAAACCGTATTGAGGACTGTATCATAGTTATTAGCTAGAACCACATTGAGGACTGTTTCACAGTTATTAGCTAGAGCCATATTGAGGCCTGTATCACAGTTATTAGCTAGAGCCATATTGAGGCCTGCATTACAGTTATTAGCTGGAACCACAATAAGTACTGTATCACAGTCATTATCTAGAACCACATTGAGGCCTGTATCCCAGTTATTAGCTAGAACCACATTGAGGACTGTATCACAGTTATTAGCTAGAACCACATTGAGGACTGTATCACAACCAGTAGATAGAACCACATTGAGGACTGTATCACAGTTATAAGCTAGAACTACATTGAGGCCTGTATCACAACCAGTAGATAAAACCACATTGAGGCCTGTATCACAGTTATGAGATAGAACCACATTGAGGACTGTATCACAGTTATTAGCAAGAACCACATTGAGGACTGTATCATAACCAGTAGATAAAACCACATTGAGGCCTGTATCACTTTTATAAGCTAGAACCACATTGAGGCCTGTATCACATTTATTAGCTAGAACCACATTGGGGCCCGTATCACAGTTATTAGCTAGAACCACATTGGGGCCCGTATCACAGTTATTAGCTAGAACCACATTGAGGACTATATCACAACCAGTAGATAAAACCACACTGACGACTGTGCAACTATCATTAGATAGACCCGTGCACACGGTTGTCTCACATATCAGTAGATCGAACCACTTTAAGTATCCGTTACCAATGTTCTATGTTTGTACACAAAATTCAAAAGACGAGAACTATTCAAGCCAATAGTATTGTCGTTTATCGTAAGAAAATGAACATACTTTTATAGATATTGCAATTCTTTTCTGGACAGGCGGCTATCACCTTCCTTACGGTTAGTTTAAGACAATATGATACATTTCGCCTATGCATAATTTCTCAAAGTAGTAACTATAGCATGACATAATCGTCTGTGACGTCAGGGCATGTTTGTCCCATGGTCATCTTGAGGCATGCGCGTTACATTTATTCAACCAATGGACATTCAGTCATGAGCATAGTGTGTAAACACTAAAGCCTATCGAACTACAGGGATATTGGTTATTAGGTAATCCATGGACTGGACTTATTGTTCGTTGTGACAAGTGTAGAACTCCTGTCATTATCATGACATGGGGAAAATTCGCGTTTAACTCATGTTCATTCTGCCCAAACCATATACTAAACAAAACACTAAGATTGTTTTCCCTTCTAGGCATGCTCATAAAATGAACTGGAACGTTGATGCCTGCCAACTGACGACCACCAATTGCATATGATTTCAAAAGACCCATGATAGTACAGTATGTAGAAACTTTTGGGGACAGACCATATGACAAACTGACTTACTGGAGTCAACATGTCTTGGATAACACCTTTGTGTTATAGATATACGAGTATATGTAGAAACATATGAGATATAAAACTTTGACATTGAACAGACAATTTCTATCTGATATCACATCACACAGAGCCATATTGACACAAACGTAGATTAAGTATCCAGGTAAAACAGGCAATAGTCAATCTTGCTGCGTATGAAGGCAATAACCATTTCAAGTGATATACTGGTGTAAATGGTAAACCCAATTACACCAAGAGGTGTTTTAGGCATCAAAGGGCAAGCAACAAGCCAAAATGATGTTGCTTAATTCTTTATGTTACATGGAACGAGGGCTGATATTTGGCTAGGAACCAGCGTCAGGCACGTTTAGGGCAGGTATACACGAGTGCGCGTCCGCATCACCGCCACACGGAAGTATCGGTGCGCCAAAACATATTCCCGCTCCCACGTGTTGGCTGGGAGGAGAGAAGAGTCAATTTGAAGCCGCCTTAGGAGAGAGGGCTTGTGATATCACAGATGAAATCGCTGAGAGCTGTTAGTTGTTCATTGAACTAAGGAGGTTACAATTTAGATTACAGCCTCGCTTTAGAAGCTGACTAGTCATCTGACCTCCAACTCACGACCCGGCCCCCGTCTCTCTGCTCTCTTGCAGGTTTCTCTTTAAAGAAAGCCGAATTAAGAGCTAATACGATGTTGCCCATCCCGAAACATCGACCTTTTATTGGACTTTTGTGCCTGACTATAGTCCCTCATTTCGACTCAACACAGAAAAAGAATACAGCGCAAAATTTCATTTGTGGATTTTAAAATTAGTCTTGTTGATAGCTCCACTCGGACTCCGGAGTAGTAAGTATGATATATTTAGTAGTTATTTAATAATGACCATCGCGATAAGTGAATAAATCAGTATTTAAAACGAAACTGTAAGCTTGTTCAACAAACGTAAAATAAAACAAAGCACATGAACATGTGCAAATAACTGTTCTGTCATACAACCATCAACATTCCTCTATCGCAGATGCGACACGAAAGGAAAGTGTACAATCTTCTCTAGACACTGGATAAACATACAGCTCCTGTGTTTAAAAGGGAGTGTTATCAAGGTAAGGACTTCATCAACGGTTATATATTCTGTCTTTCTTTCATCAATTCTCACTTGACATCTACAATTTATGGAGGAATATTAGCAATACTAATCAAAGAGATAATCTAACAGACTCTAAACACTAAATAATAGCTGAGCACTTTAAACCTCGCAGGAAAATTATCGTCCACAATTAGGAGAATGACGTGAGACTGTAGGTGACACTTTGTAGAAGGATGCTGGGGTAGGACAGGGGGCAGTGAGGTACAGCCACGGCCGGGGTGGTAAAGCAAATTGCTTCAATATTACCACTGAGCGGACGACACTCACTTGACGGCTTTGTTGAGGGATTCATATCGAGCCAATTTTAGTGGAGAGGTGATCTCTGTCTGTCTGCAATCAATGGAGCGTGTCCACTACAGAGAAAACTAGCATTTCATACTTGGTTTTTTTTCAGGTAAGATACCACTGGACGGCGGATCGTTTCGTGTCTGGAGGAATACTCTAGGTGTAGCGGAGGACTAGAGTATGGCCAGTTTTTGTGTGCACACAAACTGTAGCGACAGTAAAAACTACGGGTATATATGTCTCCACAGGCAAATATACGGGTAAGCTAACTCCCTAGACATCTGACTTACCCACCCGACCTCCTCTATGGAGAACACGGCACCCCCCTAGCGACCAAATAGGTGCACAGTGCAGCCGGCTAGGAAAGTGCCATTTTTTTTATCTTTTATGATGAAAGTTTGTTCAAAGAATTGGGGCTAGTCTGTGAGGTTCTCATCTCAGACAACATCTGCGAAGTACATCGGTGTAGAAGCCAACACGGGAGTTTTATTACCTAAGTGAGAATAAGAAAAGATCCACATTCTACACATTGGTTGGTCGCCTGGACTTCGCTCTACGTCTTCAACACATTTCACAAATGATCATTTTTTGAAGGAGTTGGAATTCAGTGATTCAAGCAGGTAGTGCTGCCAAGAACTAAACAAAAGTATAGAATGCTTTGAACGACCGATTGAAAAAGTCTTGTGTGACAATGAATATGGTACAGAAGATATGTGTTGTTACTGCAATCGTTGAATAGATGTATGCGAAGTGACAGAAGGGACATCCTCCCACGTTGAAGAGGTGGCAGGAGAGCGACACGACCATGCGTATTCAAGGGATACTAATATGTCTTTATTTTTATCTTATCTTCCCGACCAATATAATTGGCCTTTGGTGGTAAGTAAATTGTATGAAATCTTCAGTTTTTGTAATACGAAAGTAGCAAGCTATAGATTCCTAAATTATTCACGTAAAACAATTATCATTTAATTGATAATAATAAAGTGATATCTAACCGTGACATTGGAGATTGAATATTTGTTGCTAGAATAATGTATATTTCTTCAGTTCTGATTCTTCTGACTAAAATATAAATGTGTTGAAATGTTAAAATATGCTTAACGAACTAAATATTGAAATTGTCATTATCGCTCAGCTCAAATACATGCACATCTCAGGAAGCATTTCTGAAGAGTATCTAACAGTTTTGAAATTATGCACGTGAAAAAAGAGAACTTTCGTGCACTTAGTTTGGGTACGAGTTTTATTTCAAGTACTGATGTATTTGTTGGTGCATTTGTGTACAGAAATAAGGCGACATTGTGGATGTGGAAATTCGTTAACACTGTAATCTGTAGTCCTCGCTTGTCTTCTCTTACACTCAAAAGAGTCAAACGTTTTGGACATAAGGACAAATTAGAAGGCTGGTGTACAAATTTACTGTGCGATTACTGGCTGGAAATCAAACACTGGAGATGATGGGATGTCGGAGGGGGCTGTGGGGGAGGGCGTTGTGTCACGGGGGGGGGGGCTGTAGGGGATACAATCACTAAATTGTTCAAACATATATTTTTTAAATATAAAAATACGTATCACAAAGACAAAAACATTATTTTTCTGGTAATAATCATTCGCCGTTCATATTTCATAAACATAAAAAACTAAACCTTTGTGTATTGTACAGTGTACTAGATACGTCACTATAGGGGAGAGCTATATGAGGGGATCTACCGAAAGTTTTCCAACAAGAGAGCGGCATATTAATAACTCAAGTTCATTGATTTAAGATAAAACCCTGCTCATATCGTTCCAGCTGTTTGCAGATAAATGTGCGGAAGTTACTGCTTTCTACTTAAACACTGCCGAAGAAACGTTTTAACTAATGGACTTTTTCGTTCAATTAACTCTCGCTAAGTCCCTTAATATAAAACTACGATTCGCATTGAGACTAGATGGAATAAGGGGTCCGCTTACAGTATAACTCTTCAAACGAGGTTTGTAAGTGTGACCAACGGCGCAACGAGAGACTGTCGGGGCAACTCACATGCGGGCTATACACACCGTTCATACATAACGCACACTTCTCCTGTGAATTTTTTTTACAAAAATATATGTTTAAAATAAATCCAATTATAAAACGGCGTACATTTTGCTCTCTGCATCTCATTAGTGAATGACTAGGTAGCGTACTACGCGTGCGTGCAATGTCTGTCTGCCCCTCAGTATTAGTAAGCTGACGATAAGGAAATGAAGCTCGACCGATTCGATAGCGATCATTTTGTTTTCTGCAGTGGTACCGTGGACACACATTGGTATATCATAATTGTAATTTGCAAACAAAAATGTACAGTACTTTATGCGTACATGTTTCGTGTTCCTGCGTTGCTTGGCAACAATATATTAAAACGAGATAATCCCGAAATCGCTGATTGCACAAAATTAGGTTTAGGTTAACAAATTGAGAGGATTTGTCCGGTTACCACTTTATTTGTATGTTTAGCACATCTACCTATGAAAGCATGTCGCCACGGAACTATAGTTACAGTGAGTTGGTTGTTATAGCAGTAGTCACACGCGGCAGATGCTTACATTAAGATTCTGTAAACGCTTCAAATTAAAATATTTTGAGAAGTGCGAGGTGTGTGCAGCTTGAGGTATACAGTGGGTTTGTCGGGGAGTCGGCTAACGGACGACAGGCACACATCAAAGTTCCGCCGTGGCAAGCCGGGTCGCAAGGTCAACCCGGGGCTTCAAACACGGCCTTTACACGCCAATAGCAGCGACTTCGCAAAGCGAAAGGAATTAACTTGAACCGTTTGAAAGACACTCTCAATTCTTTATTAGACGGATAGGAATGCTTTCAAATTGGGAAAAGTAAAGAATTGTGCTCTATATTGCTGTACATTCGAATGATAGGTTATTGAAAGAGGACAAGACTCTTGCAATAATAGTTAATCAAATGCGACTTAACATGTTAGCTTTCCCGTGTGTTGAATAGCTTGTCAAGTAAGCGCTGTCGCAGGCGACTTAAAGGATCAAGTTGTAGCATGGACGGGCCCATATACCACACCGTACGGTGGTCGCGCAAGTAAATACAACACCCAAAATCTTCTAATAATCTGGTGTCTAACAACCCGAACTCGTCCCACACATAAATAACTTATAATATACTTTGCTAGATTTGGATAGTCAAGTGGCATAATTCAATCTTGTCTGAAAGTAATGATGGAGATACAAATCTATTCTATTATAGATTCGAGTATGTAGATTGCCCTATTCACGTAAATCATGGAAATAATTTCATGGATGATTTGAGTTGGACAATATTTCAAGTTTGCTTGATTAAATGAAAGTATGTTAAATGTGAAACAGTCTGTTTTAAGGACAGTTTTAGCCTAGAATCGTTGCGGGGAATGAACTCCGGGATCCCCACGCCTTCAAAAACAGACAGAGAGGTTCTCGGGCGAAATGCAGGAATGTTTATTATATATGATCTCAGAGGCAACAACATACAGTCAAACAGCATCTAAGTATTCCATTTCATAGTTAAGACATCATAACGAGCAATTAACTAGTAAAGTGTTTTTGGCACTGTTATAAATGCAGTGTTGAAATAGCAGCACTTACCAGGTAAAATACATAAAAGTGTATCACTGGCATTGATTTGCCACAAGAGCAAATGTGGTTTTGAAGGATACCAATCATCACCACAGTGTAGTGTAATGGTACATGATATGTAGGCTATGTTTCGAGTTCAAGTTTTATACAGTACTGATTAAAAATCGGAAAGGAATCAATAAGTATAATTATCACCAATTAGGTTTAACGGATGACGGTAATTGTGATCTAATCTTGCGTTATAAAAGTTTCTCTCGTAAATGTCTCAATGTTCACCCATGTCCCAGCTGAACCACGCGTAAAAGTAAATAACTATATCAATTAGTATATAAGTGTAGATAAACATAATACTATATCAAAGATTAATTTGATACATATTTTTTATTGATTAATCATTATTCAAGCCAAAATAATTTGCATATTATTTTGTTATTTTTCCGCTTGTAGTACATGTGTGGTAGCATGATAACTATGCAGCATATGACGGCTCCAAGTGCTTGGGGTTTCTTAATGTTATGGAGTCGCCGGGGAACCCTATTTGTCTTTAAACAAAATATCGTGTATCAATGAGTTAAATAACTCGACTGGCCATATGGTATCAGCAAGTGTTTTATAAGAATGACTTCGTTTTCTTTCATAGAATAATATGCCAGTAGAACATAAATTACCTGAGAACTTAGATCTATTCTCGAAAATGCACAATAGACAACAGGACATACGACCAAGCAGTTGGATAGCATTGTGAGACATTACTTGTCTGTTAGATGGTTGCATAGACGACTCCTTCAATTGTCCACGGCCTAGTCAGTAGAGGAATCTAACCTACAACAACTTTCATATGAAAAAGAAAATGATCGTTTGAAGATCTACATATAAAGAAAATTTGTACCTTCGAAAATAAATGCATGTCATATATGTAAGATGTTTCGGAGATGACGATATAAATAATTTCATCTGTAACATCTGTAACATTGTGAGTGGAAGTTTCACTCACAATGTTACAGATGAAATTATTTATATCGTCATCTCCGAAACATCTTACATATATGACATGCATTTATTTTCGAAGGTACAAATTTCCTTTATATGTAGATTTTCAAACGATCATTTTCTTTTTCATATGAAAGGTTAGATTCCTCTACTGACTAGGCCGTGGACAATTGAAGCATATATTGATGAGGTCTCGAGGGCAGGATATTAGATGCCAAATTATTAATGATATAATGTTTCTACTAAACAACATGGCACTTCTGTGTGTAAATAACATGTAAACTTTCTCACCCCCTCTTGGGCGGACAAGGAAGAGAACGATGCGATAGCAGAATCGTACGTTGGAGACCTGGAGCCTTTTAAAGATTAAGTATTAGAGGCTGAGAAATAATGTTTGTGACGTGATAATGAACACAAACACAGCTGAGTGAAAGACCATCGGGTTTTACTTGCCGTGTGAAATGTGTTTAGATAGTCTGTAGCAATAAGACTGGGTTGACTATCTCATTGTTCTGTTGTGTGAAGACCGCGTAGAAGCATGGTAGGAACGAGGGCTGACTATCCACATGCGCTGTAGTGTGTAGACCGGGTGGAGTGATTGTAGGAACGACGGGTAACTATCTCTATGTCCTGTGGTGTGAGTTGAGAACGACGTGTGGCTACCTACATGTACTGTAATTGGAAAAACCGGGTAAGGTAGTTGCACCATCATTCATTGATGTTCATTTGACCTGTTAGATGTAATAAATTGCAAGAGCGGACATAAAATCTTCCGATTATCGGTAGCATGGGTTTTGTGATATTGTCGAAAGATTGTTAAGTGGAACACCGTTGGCTCGAGTGTAAACGTAAACCGTATCAATACACGAGTGTGTAATGGAAGTGAGAGACTGCGTGCACGTGACACTTAATTGTTGTCTGTCAGCATGGTGCTTCACTAGCACGTGGTAGTTGATATTAACTGACTTGTTATGCAGTCAACAGAACACATATGATGCAATGAAAATAATTATGTGAACAGATGTTGTCAAATATATTATGTGACAGGAAGAAAAAGAAATGCTGCTAAATGAAGGTTGTATCTCTTTTATACATAAACTCTTGGAACAAAAAAACTAATAACTAGCCGCATGTATGTCAACACAAGGCATCATCTGTCTACAGATAAACACATGTCCTACACAAGTTGCATGTAGTCGACACAACGACATCATCTGTCTACAGATAAACACATGTCCTACACTAGTTGCATGTAGTCGACACAACGACAGCATCTGTCTACAGATAAA